AGTGGCGCTGTGGCTCAAGTGGTAGAACGCTAGCCTTGAGCTGAAGAGCTGAGGGACAGCGCCCAGGCCCAGAGTTCAGGCCCCATGACCGTCCAAAAAAAAAAAAAAGGCCAATTTGGGCACCTATGGCTCACTTCTGTAGATCCATATTCAAAGCTAGCCTGAACAAACCCAAAGACACCTTCATTTACTTCTACTTTCTTCTGCTGGAAAGTAGAAGTGAAGGTGTGGCTCAAGTGTTAGAGTGGCAGTCCACACCCCAGTACCACGTACACAGAAACCCAATTCTTTTTTTTTTTTTTTTTGTCGGTCATGGGGCTTGAACTCTGGGCCTGAACACTGTCCCTCAGCTCTTCAGCTCAAGGCTAGCACTACCACTTGAACTACAGTGCCACTTCTGGTTTTCCGGTGGTTTATTGGAGATAAGAGTTTCATGGACTTCCCTGCCTGGGCTGGCTTTGAACCTCGATCCTCAGATCTCAGCATCCTGAGTAGCTAGGATTACAGGTGTGAACCACTGGCGCCCGGCTCCAAATTCTTGTACTTTCTTATCAGGAGATGAACTGACAGTGTAGAACATGACCAAAGCTATACCATCCTGGAAATAGTGAAGATTCCTTCTTATGTTCTGAAACACAGTTTACTTCATAGAAACATCCTTCCCCATCTGACTTGTAAGACTCATGGATGCCTCTAGCTTACCTGTTATCAGGTTTAACACAGGTTCCAAATTCCAATTCCTTCCTTCATAAAAGCTTAGCTGAATTTTTTTTGTTTTGTTTTGCTTTGTTTTTAGTCAGTTGTGGGGTCTGAACTCAGCCTGGGCACTGTCTCTCAGCTCCTCAGCTCAAGGCTGGCGTTCTACCACTTCAACTACAGGGCTACTTCTGGCTTTTTTTCTGCTTATGTGGTACTGAAGAATCGAACCCAGGGCCTCATACATGCAAGGCAAGCACTTTACCACTGAGCCACCTTCCCAGCCCTGAACTTCTTTTTGTGTGTGGAGGGGTACTGGAGTTTGTGCCATGTCCTTGAACGTGCTCTAGCAACACTCCTAGCCATTTGTGCTTTCATTTCTTTTTAATTGGTCATGGAGCTTGAACTCTGGGCCTGGGCACTATCCCTCAGCTCTTCAGCTCAAGGCTAACATTCTACTTCTTCAGCCACAGCTCCACTTCTGGTTTTCTAGTGGTTTATTGGAGATAAGAGTCTTGGGGAGCTGGGAAGGTGGCTCAGTGGTAGAGCGCTTGCCTTGCATGCCTGAGGCCCTGGGTTCGATTCCTCAGCACCACATTAGCAGGAAAAAAAAGCTGGAAGTGGCTCTGTGGCTCAAGTGGTAGAGTGCTAGCCTTGAGCTGAAGAGCTGAGGGACAGCGCCCAGGCCCAGAGTTCAGGCCCCACGACTGG